TGCGGGTGAGGAGCTGCCCATTTGGACTCCTCTAGCCAAGCAGTTGTTCTCGGCCGTTAAAAACGGCACACCGAAATCCAGATGCGCAGCGCTGTGAGCAGTGACATGCTGCATGCAGCCGCCTGGCTTGATATCCAGGTAGTGCTGGACAGGAAAGCACTGCGGGAGATGCAAAAGAACAATCAGCAGAAGAAGCTGGCCAGATGCTTTTTTTTTTTTTTTTTCTTCTCTGTTTTGTTTTATTTTTTAATGACATAATCTCAGACTTTAATGGCAGCTGCTTTCACAGCGATCCATAGAGGTACCGATTCTGAGCAGTGGCGAGGGGTTGCATCAGCAGCGTGGTGCCCCGTGACGCACCGTGCTTGTGCATCTGAAGCTGAACAGAGGCAGGAATGAGTCAAAAGAGGGGCTCCCTCCCGGGAGCGCAACACGCGGGGACTGCGCACAACCCGTCACAGCGAGAAGCTGCCCTGCTGTTGGGATTTTTTCATTTGCAGCAAAAGAAGCACTTATTTAATCTAGGGGAGGGATGATGATTTGAAGCAGCATATAAAAACATACTTGATCTGCTGACTAACCGTGCAGTTATTGTAATGCTGTCTTGCAAAACTTAGGTGTAAGGCTTTTCTGTCATCAGCTAGTTTAGTATCTATGGATCCCAAGAATGGATAGAGTGTTAAATTATCAGGTTTTGCTTGCAAAACTAGTTAGCAGAGTGTTATGACATAGGTGTTGTGTACACACAAAATCTCTTGGAAGAACTTTTTTTTTTTCAGAATAACTTACACAACAGGTTGTTCAAACCTTCAATAAATGATTTTGTTCATAATTTTTTCGTGGTTAGCAAATTTCTAGGATTCTTCAATAGCTGAGAATTTCAAAGAAACAATTATGTGTTACCAATTGTCCCCATATAATTTGTCCCCAACTGGCCTTGCTATGTTTGATTTTGAAGTTCGTCCCATCTACCAAAATTTTACCTACTTTCCCCAGATTGTGGCCTGCTAAGCACTTAAAGACAGCAAGGCCTGTATATGTTAAGGACATCTTAATATATGATAGGGAAGTCCTTATATTTATGAATATGTCTGCAGGGTTTGGGGTGAGTCAGCATTCAGGGAAGCAGAGGCAGACAAGCAAACCCAGGGCTGTCCTGCAGCTCCGTACTCCACGCGCGCTACCTCTTCTCATCGAACACCAAGCCCAAACTACGCTTTGCCTTTGGTTCTGTCATGGTCCAATTTTCAGTTCCTCCCCAGGCTCTACAGCAAAAACCTGATTCTGTTCCAGAAATCCCATCCTTGGGATCTGGATGAATGTGAACTGGCAGCATGGGACCGTTCAAGATGTTTTTGTCTAGATCTAGAATGTTGTGGAGTCTAGACCCCCATGGCGACCTAGAGCTCCACGAAGGTCCTAGGCTGGTGCTTCACCCCTTAATACAATTTGGGAATCATAGTGTGTGGTTGCCTGAGAGCATTTACCAACACTTTGTGGCCTTCCTTCCTCAGCATTAATGTCTATACAGGAGGTCTACAGAGAAGGAGCTACACTGTTGTAGGAGGAGATAAAATATAAACCCTTGGGGTTTGACAAAATTCCTTTCAGGAAAATCAACTGTTATTTCACTGATAATATAGAAGAGAGAAAGGTTTTCTAGGAAACCTCCCTAGTTTTCCTGTGCATTCTTATGCCCTTCAGTTCTTAATGAAGTCACAGCCTATCTTGGGTGTAGAGGAGGAGAGGAAAAGCGACTTGGTGCAAATTTTAAGGTGCCTGGGGAAAGGAACTTAAATGGGAGGGTCTATTATTACAGCTCAGAGAAGCAAGGGCTAGATAAGCATCACTGTTTCTTTTTTTTGTTTGTTTTGTTTTTGTAAAAACATGTAAAAACAACATTTTCACTTGCCATGTTTCCATAGTTAGGATACTGAGATTTCCTTTGGGAGAGCCCCGTATTGTTTTTGTCACGTCTCTGCAGCATCCATCTGGCCAGACGTTGAAAAGATTTCTAAAGAATAAATGATAGTGGTGAATGTGCACATGGGGTTGTTGGGAATCCTTCCCTGATGCACAGTGGGATCTGCCTTGCTCCTAAATTCAAAGGACCAGATGATAACACACTGAGATCTAGAGTGGGACATTCCATTGGTACCACGGTATGGAGAGAACTTAAATTAATGAGTGTTTATAAAGGACTTTGAGGTGAAAAATAAACTATAGTTGCTTTGAGTGGGGTGTGAGTTTCAACTGTATTTCACATAATGCATCTGTTAATGAGAAAAAAAAACTGATTATGACTGGAGCAAAATTTTAACAGCAATAACTCAGAGGAGGTGCTATGTAGAGAGGATTACAATCTGCTGCTTGGGATAGCACTGAAAGAGCAAGAGTCTAACCTGGAAATGACGTTTGTGAAGTTAATCAGTTGCACTGGATGTGGCTCCCTTGAAGCACAGCCCCATTCTGTGGTCACAGAGCTACTGTCCAGAGTCATCTCTTCATTTGATCCTGTCCTTCCGCTGTTTACTCTTTCCAACGGGACAACATTAATGTGGCCCTTCAAGGTCATGCAATTGTGCCCTTTCATAGATCCCTTTAGCCTCTCAGTGATTCCAGCTCCAAGAACCTTTTTATTTCTGCTAAGCAATCCTGACCTCTGAGCCATAAAACCCATTCTGTAAAGGCCAGCCAGAACACAATTTTGTGGGCATTTAAATAAATAAAATTTGGGGCTAAGCAGCCCCTCACCCACCAAAAAGCGGTTGGTCAGCTGAGCTTTGTGAATGGGCTCACTGTGGAGTTGCGTAAGTGCCAGTACAGGTGTAATAACTGAGCTGAATTTCCAGAAGAGAGCCATTTCATGGAGAAAGGAGTGGGAAATAGGAACAATGTGCCTTTGAGAGAAATGAAAGGGCTAAAAATGTCTAGGCCAAGCGAGTCACACATGCTGCTGAAACTTTTCATTACGCTGGAGTTACTGAAACATTAATTGCTCAATGAAAGTATTACTAGATGCTGGTGGATTTATACTGAAGCCAAACAAATGACCGCTTTTTTTTTGTAACATTATTTCTGGCCCTGCCAAATCTGACGTACTGAAACAAATTTTGTTTTTCAATTAAATATTTGAATAATGTGGCAATCTACTTGTGCATCTGTGTATATACATATATAGTCTAGTGCTCTTAAAATTTTAATTCCTGATTTTATTCCTTTTGCATCTCCTTTGTGTGTATATATATACACTATATACATATTTTTATATACTGCATTATTACCGTACAGTAGTCATTAGGAACAAAGGATTATAAGGAACCTGCTGTATAACTTCAGATCAGCTCCTCACAGATACAAAATCATATAATCCATTAGTAAATTTATCAAACTTAGTTTTAAAAGTAGTGAGTGTCCCTCTCCTCTCTTGTTGTCCTTACCAATTGAGTGGCTTTTCAGGAAACTAATTTGACTAATGCAGTGGGGGTTTTTTTGCCTTTTTTTTTTGTTGTTGTTTGTTTGTTTTGTTTTTCCATCTTATGTAAGTGGAACAACTTTTTGAGGTCTGTCTTTGGGTAACCTCCCCTGAGCCCTGCCCATGTAGCAAGGACCAAACAAGTCCAACACAAGTAGTTATTTGGACAAAAGGTGATTTGCCTTCCCTCGTCAGCATGGACAGTAATTACAGATAATTTCACTTCTCTGTCCTAGAGGAGCAGAGCTGATGCCAGCAGTAAATCTGTATAATTGGTGATTTTTTTTTGGTTGAGATTTTTTGATAATGAAGTATATAATTAATCAAGAAAATATATGGGAAAAAAGGGATTTTGATCTTTCACAATCTCCTTCAAGCCCTCCCCGGTCGTCTGGGGAACTATCAACTACAGTTTAAGAGGTACTGGCTTGTTGATTAGGATCATACAGTTATTTCTATTCATTTCCTTATTTGTGAACTTGCGTACTTTATGTGTACTTTTAGCTTGAATAGTGCTGATGTGAACCCC